TGCTCTGGCTAGTGGTTCCAGAACTATATTGAACAGGAGTGGTGACAGCGGACATCCTTGTCTTGTTTCCGAATTTAAAGTAAAAGCTATCAGTTAAAACTTTAAAAGGGTTAGTAGATTATGAGTGAGAGAAAAAGAGAGATAGACGCAAGAAACTTCATTGGAAAGCAGGGGGTTTTATTCTTGTGATTTTCTTTTCTGCCATCATTGGTTTCTTATCCACAGTAATAGGGTAGAAATTGCTGAGATATATTTTAATTCTTGAAGCCTTAATGTACCAAAGTTGATATAGGGTGTACGTACAAACCCAGTGTGTGTCCTTATTGTCATCATCATGTCTTTTCCTTCTTGTTGTTGTTTGCAGTATTGGGGACTGAATCCTGGGCGTTTACACTTACCTACCTGTCCAGTTCATTTTTGTTTTTTTATTTTGAAAAGGTAGATTTCGCTAAGTTGCCCAGACTGGGCTCAAATTTGCAATCCTCCTGCCTCGCAGAGTACTGGGATTACAGGTGTGCACCACTATGCCTGGCTAACATCACTTTTATTAGCGGATAAATATTTTGTAAATAGAGAAAGGGGGGTTGAAGGGAGGGGAGAAGAATGGGAAAGAAGAAACAGCAAGATATATTATGTACAGGTACATGCTCCCTATGGTGAATGTTATCATTATGTGTCTAAAATGTACCAATAAATTGAAAAGGAAAAAAAATTCAATAATTTTTGGAGACTAAGGAAAATGGATCACCAATTCAAGTCCAGCCTGGGCAACTTAGCAACTTAGTGAGACCCTGTCTCAAAATTAAAACATAAAAATTTAAAAAGGGCTGGGGATATAGTTCAATATGAACACACTTGGTTCCATCCCACTTACCTTGCAGTAAAGAAGTGTTCTTTAGCATATTCACAGAGATGTGCAATTACTACTAATTCTCAGATTATTTTTCTATCTTAAAAATTTTATTAGTATATGTGTACAGTACGTAATGATTACACTCATTGTATGGAGTTGGTACATATACAGAACACATCTTTTTTTCATCCCCTTCTTCTCCCCTCCCTTGCCAATGCTTTTAAAATGCTAGCACTACTTCTTATTTTGCATTTCCTTTAATTTTATTTATTTTTCCTATTTCAATTTTTACTTTTTTGTGAGTACATGTTTGCTGTACACAATGATTACATTTCTCCTAAGGAGTTGGGGTTGGTAAAGTACGTAATACCTCTTAATTAACTTCATCCCCTTCCCCTCCCCTCCACCCTTCCTTTATTCCTCTATCTCTTGCTCCCTTCCCTTAGCAAAAGATCTTATCTCCCTATTTCCTATTTTCTATCTTTTATTTTGCTCTTTATTTATATTTTAGGTTTTTCATTTAAGAGATGTGGTTCTATGTATAGTGACAGGTCCCAAGAACAAGGTGCCCGCAGATAATGAGGAAAAGAAAGACAAGAAAAACGGGAAAAAGGTCTGGGATCAGGGGACTTACAGCCTCTCGGACTGCAGCCCCGATTACTAATCTCAGTCACCTTTTATTGAGCCAGAACCAAAGGCGTAGCTAGTACAAATGCGTGGATACAAAACGTTTTAGTAATTAAAGGATTATCATTCTCCAATTCTGCCGAAAACAATCACCAGATGGACCTCCCACACACAGCCCCACGCTCACTCAGTTCAGCTGCGGATCATGAGTTGACCATCAGCTGTCGATCCATCCCTGGTCAACTTGATAATCATACACATTTCCTTAATCCATGGATTCTTATCTTCAGGTGAAAGGTTTCAGTTCATTTTAATAAACAAATATGTGTCCTCAGTGTTTTCTAATCAAAGAATGTCCTTCTCCACAAAGAGAAACCATGCTGTATTTAAGCTTGTGTCTGATTTATTTTATTCATTATTATTTT